ATATATATACAGCGAAAAGATGATGAAAAAAACATTTATGTTATAATTATATTTCCCTAAGTTTGAATATTTCGATTTTAACAAATAAATGTTTAATTTTCAAAATATAATAAATTGCATTGATTAATGGTGAATTGGAAAACATGTTATGCATTGTTTATCGAATTTTTCGTTACAAGAAATCAAGGGTTTGAAAATCTTTAGTTTGGCCAATAGGAAGAACAATTTAAGAACCGGGACAGAAGATATATATAGCAAGAGTGATTGGGGTCGTTACTAAAATATACACTAAGTAGCAGTCAAGCTCAATTCTTCATTTTAAAATCTTTTTAACCATGAAACATTTAATTTATTTAATTTAATCTGGATTTTATATCATATTTGAATAGTATTTATCAGTTGATCAATAATAATATCAATTTTCAATAAGTTATTGTATTCTACAATACAATAAATATTTATAATTTCAGACATTCACAGCATGGTGCAATTCGCATCTTCGCAAAGCGGGAACCGCCATCGAATCGATCGAGGAGGATTTTAGAAATGGACTGAAATTAATGTTACTGCTCGAAGTAATTTCTGGTGAAACGCTTCCAAGACCAGACAGAGGAAAGATGAGGTTCCACAAGATTGCAAACGTGAATAAAGCTCTTGATTATATTGCCAGTAAAGGCGTGAAATTGGTATCTATCGGAGCAGAGGGTAAATATTTAGGATATTTAGTTTATTCGTTCAATTATAATCAATTGTAATCAACGATTCTGTAAATTTAAACAATGCCATTTATATTTATAACTCTCAACAGAGATCGTGGATGGCAACTTGAAGATGACATTGGGTATGATCTGGACCATTATTTTAAGATTTGCTATTCAAGATATTTCCGTGGAGGAAATGACTGCTAAAGAAGGTCTTCTACTGTGGTGCCAGCGTAAAACTGCACCCTATAAGAATGTTAACGTTCAAAACTTCCATCTGTCGTTCAAGGATGGGTTGGCGTTTTGCGCCCTTATTCACCGTCATCGACCGGATCTTATCGATTACAATAAACTTAGCAAGGATAATCCTTTAGAGAATTTGAACACTGCCTTCGATGTTGCTGAAAAATATCTCGACATTCCTCGTATGTTAGATCCTGATGGTAAGTACATACCAGTTTAATTTTTCAAAGCAAAATATCTTGTTATTCGAGGCAAAAAAAAAAAAATGTTACATTATATCTTGTCGATTAACGCGAGAGGTTAATTTTCTTAACCTATAATTTAGGCATTTCTTTCTTGGAGTTTAGGATGGAAATACGATGAAGTGAGCTTTCACTATTTCATTAAAACGTACAAATTCTTAATGTTATATTCCCTTAATATCATATAGATTTGATCAACACACCCAAGCCAGATGAGCGTGCAATCATGACGTACGTGTCCTGCTACTACCACGCGTTCCAAGGTGCTCAGCAGGTCAGCGTAAAGAAATGCGTGTTGTTCCCTTACTTTGGTTACAAAATGACCTGTGCTCTTTCACTCTTTCACTAATACTAATACAATTATCGATCGTATGCTTACACTTAACAGTGTTTCGTTATGCTAATTCCATTGTATAACTGTTATAATTGTTTATGTTTCAAATGTTACATACTTTTAACAAAAAAAAAAAAAAAATAATCTTGACTCTTAAGCAAAGATTCCTTTGATTTAACTATGTATGTAATGTAATTTTTATTTTACTCCTATATTGTACATGACCATGATGTTATTAATTAGAAACAATATATTATTATATATATCTTTCAATTATTATCGAACGAATTACAATTATCGAAAACGATACTACTTCTTGATAGAAAAAAAAGAAACAAAAAAATTTTTCGATGGACACTTTTATGCTAACATTGCATGGTTTGAGTTTTTCGAATGTGTTCTTTTTTAGATATGCGAAACACAGCAATGCCCGATGAACGAGCTGTGATGACCTACGTTTCTTCGTACTACCACTGTTTTAGCGGTGCACAAAAGGTGTGTGATTGCAAAAATTAACCAATAATAATAAATTATCGCATTATATAATTTGAATCAAAGAATATGAATGTGTTCAAACAACACCATCTATATATATATATATATATATATATATATATTATATTAACACATACAAAGT